ACACACACACACACACACGCTACAAACTGGGATGTGCCTCGATATGAATAATCAACTAAGCCGCTACTGTATTCTTCTCGCGACTTTCTCCATAATTTCTGTTACTTGTAGCACTTTTGCGACTGATAGGCCTACTTATACATGTTTATATAATCTTCTTTGAATTTTATTATTTGTAATTGTTCTATTCACTTATACCAGTCACTGTAACAGTGTTAATGACTCTATCACATGCCATATGCTCCTTTTATCTTCGTGTGTAGCACGCATATAGGTGTTAACCACAGCAACGCATTTCCTCAGTAGAATTTCTCTTTTAAACGACTCATAGTTTTAGCGTACCTATTTGTGTGGTTATGGTTTTTATGTTTTAGTATTCGCGCGTTCTCGTATGTGTGTGTCAGTTGCCTTTACTATATAGTTGTTCTGGTTTTTCCGTTTAGTATCGCCTTGTGCAATGTTAGAATAATAGCTAGTGTACGCGCGTGATTTAGTTTTCGTGAGACGTCGGCATAATATTTCCACCCTCCGTAACGGTGGTTACCTCCGTCTGAGCCTCGCCGTCAGCCGTCGTTATCTCCGTCTGCACGGCTGTGCTGTGTACGCTAGCCCTGCCTACACTGACGCTGACCATGTCTTGGAGCATGCTGCGCGTGCAGACGGTAGCGAAACACAGCGTCACTTGTGCTGCATCGTAAACAGCCCGGCAATGGCGTTATGCCTTCTCCCGCCGACATACGCGCCAAAATGTCGTAGTTACGATTTCTATCTCCATAACCTGTAGAAAGATTATTGTAAATTAATTACTACTTGTGTAGCTGTTGTTCCCTTATACAGGGAACACCAGAACGCTTACGCACGAATGCACGCATGCACGCAAATCTTCTTACATTGCGACCGGGGTTATACCTTGGAGTAATCATTCTTGACTAGTCAGAAAGATTACTCCAAGGTTATACGCAGCATATCCAATGCATGTCAAACAAGCAATAGTGTAAGCAACCGCGGGGATTTAATTTCAGAATTGTAGAGCAAGATATTAAGATTAGATATATAGAGAGAGGGAGGTGTTAGATTTAGAAAGATTATTGCTTAAATGTTGTATTATACTTTTTGAATTAGAGGGTTGAAATATCACAAAATAACCAAATCAAATATTAAACAGCAAGGAATTTACTGACAAAATTAATATACCCAACAAATAATAAATAATTATATAGCGAATATAGTGATAAACTACTAAACTTTATTTGATTTATATCATGATAGCTATATATATATATATATTGTATATCAGTAGGAGATGTGAATGCTTGGCGCGCAACCATGCACATTGAAATGAAGGAATTTTTCTACTGAATCAGAAAAGGCATAGCTTTGGAATGGTACAATGATTCTGAAATCGTAGCATGAATAAAAAAAAGTCGATATATAGTAATACAGAAGAGCGCAGCGAGTGGGAAATTTGTAATTACAAAAGAATGTTTACTCACATTGGTACGCCGTCTTTATGCGTTGATGTTTTGAGAATCGTAACCTCTCAAACTATATAATACTCATACTAAAACTATTAGTGAATCTCTATAAATATTTAGAAATCAGTGTAATCATATAATAAGCATGGTAAAAAACGGTTACGTATGACATTTATATGACAGCACAACCCAACGTAGAGCCCCTGGAACATAATAGTATTATGGTGTAAATAAGAAAAAGTTATTGTAACAGCATGTACGAATGGGTTGGACTTCTCATTTCAAAGCCTCTTGATAAAACAATGCAGTCGTAACGCACAGGCACTCTGAAGCGTTTCAACTGTAACACACTGCCACCGCCATTGCGCGCACACTGACACATAAATATATCCTGTTGTGCTCTGTTTTAGTAGGCGCGGTTTCGGTTTCACAATACCAGCAGCCGGATGAGATGAGGGAATCGATTTCTCTCTCTGTGGCAGCACTGTACAGTCAGTGCTGACTATGTGTGAAGATTGACGAATTGAGGGGTTTTTCACGGATTTTTCGGTGGTTTGACGTTTGGCAGGTTTTTTTTCAGCTACGAACAACTCCCGGGTATAAGAGATGGCCGCTGTGAAATTGCATCAGATCGCTTGGGCGATTTGGCCGCCTTAGGAAAGATACATACATACATACATACGAACTCAATATATTATTAGATATATATATATAATACTAGCTGCGGGTACCGCTGCGCTGCGGTAAAATCGTGTCTACTAATTCATGACTACTATACTAATATTAATGGGACACAGTATAGGAACATTGGGTAAACATCGAGAATGACATTGCACCCAATATCAATATTTAGAAATCGTCTAATAAGATAATAAGCATGGGGAAAATTGTTACGTATGACATTTATATGAGCAGCAACGAACCCAACTTAGAACACCTGAGACATAATATTAATAGTAATATGGCTCATAGGGTCTATGTCCCCCAGGTATACGAACGTACCCTGGTGGCTTATTTGATATGGTTAGGGTTAGGGTTCGGGTTTGGGTTAGGGAGTAAGGCGTAGGCGACTCCCTAGACTCGTTAGTGGAGTAGGCGAGGTACGGTCCGGCATATTAGATAGTACCAGGGTACGTTCCGGTATACCCCACCGTACCCAGGGTACGTTCCCGCAGTATCCCGGGGGGGGGGGGGCACAGACCCTCTGAGCAGTAATATGGGTAAATGACAAAAAGTTATTGTTGTATAACAGCATGTACGAATGGGTTGGACTTTTCGTTTCAAAGACTCTTGATAAACAATGTTTTTCGTGTTATTCTCTGGTGCAAATATGTAGAGATTCGTGGCGTATCCAACTGCTGAGCTCCCCACGTACAGCTATCCATTGTGAGATCGTACGCCGAATAAAAGAAATTCCATATATAGTATAGATAGAGACAGGCCAGCGAGTGGGGTCTGTGTCCACTGGATATTGTCTAGTGAATGCTTGGCGTGCAGGTGCAACCATGCACATTGAAATTAAGAAATTTTTGTATTTAATCAGAAAATGCATAGCTTTGGAATGGTACAATGCATTCTCAGATCGTAGCATCTGAACCGAAACTCTGAACTGAGAGTGAGTAGTACCTCTGAACTGGTCGTGGTTATGCTCTGTTTTAGTTTCGATTTCGTTTTCGGTTTCACAAATACCAGCAGCTGATGAGATCATGAGGTGAGGGCAAGAAAATCAATAGTCATAGGCTGTGCTGACATTGTGTGAAGATTGCCGAATTGAGGGGTTTTTCACGGATTTTTCGGCGAGTTTGACGGTTTGCAGGTTTTTTTTCAGGCTACGAACACGCCCGGGGTATAAGAGATGGCCCTGTGAAAATTGCATCCAGATCGCTTGGCGGTTTGACCGCTATAGGGAAGATACATACATACATACATACAATACATACATACATACATACATACATACATACATACATACATACATAACATACATACCTACATACATACGAATCAAATATATATTAGATATATATATATATATATATGTATATATTATATATATATATATGTATATATATATATATATAATAATATATACTTACACATTATATCAGTATATACATATACATACATTTTGTATATCAGTGATTTTAAGATTTCATCTGTTTCCCGCGTTAATTTTTCTATAATATTCATTTTCTAAAAATATTCATATAGCACGAAACTAAAACGTAATATTATATATATATATATATATATAGTATATATATATATATATATATATTATTATAAATTAACGCGGGAAACAGATGAAATTCTTAAAATNGTATAAATATCTGGAACACGGATTAAATATTTCCACCCAATCACGACTACCCGATCATGCTGGCCAATGAGCGCGCTGGATTGTCAACTAACACCTTCATCGTTGATGACGCACTGATGAAAAAAACTATTGCAAAACTTTCATTCATTATTTGAATCACATCATTCTTCTTTGATTACTGATTACTGATTCACTGCTAACAACTTTTATCAATTACATTTTTAACCGAAACCCCCAAATCCAACCACTGGCATCGGTTTTCGTCCTATACGCATTCAGCATACATTGTTTCCGACCATCGACGTTATGTATTCAGTCTATACATCCAGGGGTGGAAAACTCGCCGGTTCGGTGGAGATTATTTTTTGCTTCCCGGCGGTGGAATAGTGTAGAGATATTAACACCACGGTGGGAAATGTAACAACTCTACGTTCTAAATCAATCACGGTACATACCGTTAGTTTGTTTTCCCATTTGAGTTGGACTTGCCAATGGCGAAATGGTGTTGCTAGACCTAATTTCCTAATTTTAAAATGAAATAGAAAATAGGAAATGGGTTTTGATCTGTTAGTTTTGTTTTCCCGATTTGAACTAGCGAACCCATTTGAAATTAGGAACCCAATTTCCTACTTTCCCATTCTCATTTGTTCGATTTTCAGGCTTAAAAAATACGAAATAGTGATCAGAAACCCATTTCCTATTTGCAACGTCAAATGGGAAAACAAACTAACATGCGCTATGTTGTCCTAACACGGCAGGAAAACGTGATAGCGCCAAACAATATCAACTGAAACATTGATCTGTTTTGTTTTTCCTGAGTCACTGCATATGTATGAGTGTACTGTGTTGACTCCAACTGGTGAAATAATAGTATTAGATAGAAAAATAGAAGACGCGTTTACCCACGCACGTACAGACAGACGCACTTGCGGACGGACGAACGCACACACGTACGTCCTCACGCTCGCACTCACGGACGGACGAACGCACACACGCACGCTCTAACGCGCACACGTACGAACTCACGCTCGCACTCACGGACGGACGAACGCACTCACGTACGCACTCACTGATGACGGGCACACACGTACGCACTCACGCACACACGCACGCACGCACGTACCTACCGACGGACGGACGGATGGACGCACACACGTTAATTGTATTAATATTTGCAGACATGTATAACACGTATTTCATTACAGGCATGGCAGGAAATGGAAACTAGACTCGATGGTTCAACTCCCCCGCCAGGCAGTGAGAGAGAAGTGGCGTTTCAGAAAGGTAGGTAGGTTCACGTGAAATATAAGGTATTAACATGATAGATATTACAGCACTACCGCACAATCGGATCTAGCAATAACTATTAACTGGTTTTTCATAACAATAAATAACAGCCCAGAATCATAAATAAATTAAATTTAATGATCATGTAGATGTATGCAAATGTCTCGATTAAGTAAGTGCAATATACATGCTAATGTAATGTAATTCAGTGTAATGTAATGTAATGTAATGTAATTCAGTGTAATGTAATGTAATGTAATGTAATGTAATTCAGTGTAATGTAATGTAATATAATGCAATGTAATGTAACATGCAAAATATGCTCAAATAATAATAATAATAATAACAACAACAACAACAACAATGACGACGACGATGATGATGATGATGATGATGATGATGATGACGATAATCTAGAAATGAACATTTGCAGCGCGAGAGGAGATGTACGCTCTCATAAAGGCAGCCATTGATCATCGCAGAGAGCACGGACCGACGAGCGGCAATGATCGCATCTTCCTCGACGCCGTCCTCGATCCAGACAACAACATAGATCCCGACGTGCAGCTTCTAGATCCGTTCCTCTACGCCATCGCTGGCCTGCACACGACAGGGTTAGGTGAGCGCCTGGCGCCCCCTGTAGCCTCACAGCTACACCACGACCGGCTGCCTGCGAGAGATAGGCGTGACGTCACGTGATTGACAGCTGATGTTATTAGTTGTGGGAGGGGTAAACCGTTGCTAACACTCGTTGCTCTTTGGTAAAAAAAATTTATGGCTGCAAAAAGACCCACATAGGAGATGAAGTGTTATAAATGTTTGGGTGAGTGTATCTATACAATGTAGAAATGTATGTATAGATACATTGTATATATATTTTCATTTTGTCATCATGTATATAATAATCACTTTACATTTTACACATCGATAATTTGGATGTAAGTTACTTGTCGCGTTGCAACAGTAAGACTTACGTGTTATCATTTGTCATTGCTGCGTAGCGCTGACGTGGGGGATTTACTATCTTGCATTAAATGAGGAAGTCCAAGAAAGACTGTGCAAGGAACTGAAAGACCAGCTGGGTGATACAGCGATGAGCCCGCAGGAATTTAGCGATAACAGGCGAGTGCAAACGATGTGCAGTAACTTATAAGTGTGCTAGGAATGTGTGAGTAGTCATGACGGCATTATTGTTGAGTTTAGCAAGAACCGATGAGAAAACGAGTTGGTAGAGTAGAAGGGGATGAGCATACATGCGTATCTATCTATCTGTCTGTCTGCCTGTCTGTCTGTTCGTCCGTCTCTCCCTCCCGCCGTCCATCCCATCCCATCCGTCCCTCCCGCCATCCTATTTTCATATTCATCTATCCGCCCGTCCGTCCGTCCGTCTGTGCGTCCGTCCGTCCGTCCGTCCGTCCAGCCATCCATCCATCCACCCACCCACCCATCCATCCATCCATCCATCCATCCATCCATCCATCCATCCATCCATCCATCCATCCATCCATCCATCCATCCATCCATCCATCAATCCATCCATCTATCCATCCATCCATCCATCCATCCAACTACAGCTGACCAACCTTCTAACGTACAGGTACATTTACAGGTACTTGCGTCAGGTAATAGACGAGACTCTACGCTGTGCAGTTATTGGACCTTATTTGTGCCAGAGTCAGGACTATGACAGGAAGCTCGTGGATATGACATTCCCAAAGATGTGCGTGAACATACATGATCAGCTAGCTAGTATTACTTGCAGCGATAGTTGCATTAATGGCATTAACGCTTCTGTGAAGAAAACCGTAGCGATGTGATATTGGTAGCGCTGTGAGAAGCAGAATGGCAATAAATATTAGCGTTAGTGTTTGTGATCGAGATATATGAGTGAGACACGGTTCTTATATATGTATGTATACACACACGCACGCACGCACGCACGCACGCACGCACGCACGCACGCACGCACGCACGCACGCACACACACATATATAATGTAACTAGCTGGCGGGTACCCGCTGCGCTGGGTGAAATCGTGCTACTAATCATCACTACTATCTAATAATGGAACACAGTAGGAACATTGGGTAAACATGGACAATGGACATTGCACCCCCAATATCAATATTAGAAATCGGTCTAATGATAATAAGCATGGGGAAAATGTTACGTATGACATTATATGACAGCACAACCTAACTTAGAACACCTGAGACATAATATTAATAGTAATATGGCTCATAGGGTCTATGTCCCCCCAGGTATACCGGAACGTACCCTGGTGGCTATTTGATATGGTTAGGGTTGGGGTTAGGGAGAAGGCGTAGGCGACTCCCTAGACTCGTTAGTGGAGTAGGCGAGGTATCGGTCGGCATATTGATAGTCCAGGGTACGTCGGTATACCCCACGTACCCAGGGTACGTTGCCGCAGTATCCGGGGGGGGGGGGACACAGACGCCTCTCAGCAGTAATATGGAGTAAATGACAAAAAGCTATTGTTATATACACAGCATGTACGAATGGGTTGGATTTTCGTTTCAAAGACTCTTGATAAACAATGTTTTTCGTGTTATTCTCTGGTGATATATGTAAAGATTCGTGCGTATCCAACTGTTAAGCTCCCCACGTACAGCTATCCATTGTGAGATCGTACGCGAAAGAATAAAGAAATTCCATATATAGTATAGATAGAGACAGGCCAGCGAGTGGGGTCTGTGTCCACTGGATATTGTCTAGTGAATGCTTGGCGTGCAACCATGCACATTGAAATTAAGAAATTTTTGTTGAATCAGAAAATGCATAGCTTTGGAATGGTACAATGCATTCTCAGATCGTAGCATCTGAACCGAAACTGTGAACTGAGAGTGAGTAGTACCTCTGAACTGGTCGTGGTTATGCTCTGTTTTAGTTTCGATTTCGCGTTTTCGGTTTCACAATACCAGCAGCTTGATGAGATCATGAGGTGAGGGCAAGAAAATCATAGCCATAGGCTGTGGCTGACATTGTGTGAAGATTGCGGAATTGAGGGGTTTTCTACGATTTTTCGGCGAGTTTGACGGTTTGACAGGTTTTTTTCGGCTACGACCACGCCCGGGGTATAAGAGATGGCCCCTGTGAAAATTGCATCCAGATGCGCTTGGGCGGTTTGGCCGGCCTATAGGGAAGATACATAGATACATACATACGACTCAAATATATATTAGACTAGCTGCGGGTACGCTGCGCTCGGGTAATATCGTGCTACTCAACTTCATACTACTATACTATAATGGGACACAGTAGGAAGCATTGGGTAAACATGGACAATGACATTGCACACCCAATATCAATATTTAGAATCGGTCTAATAAGATTAATAAGCATGGGGAAAAACTGTTGCGTATGACATTTATATGACAGCACAACCCAACTTGAACACCTGAGACATAATATTAAAGTAAGATTTTGGCTCATAGGGTCTATGTCCCCAGGTATCCCGAACGTACCTCTGGTGGCTATTTGATATGGTTAGGGTTGGGGTTAGGGAGTAGGCGTAGGCGACTCCCTAGACTCGTTAGTGGAGTAGGCGAGGTACGGTCCGGCATATTAGATAGTACCAGGGTAGCGTTCGGTTCCGGTATACCCCACTCGTACGGCGCAGGGTAGCGTTCCGCAGTATCCGGCGGGGGGGGGGGACACAGACCCTCTCAGCAGTAATATGGAGTAAATGACAAAAAGCTATTGTTATATAACAGCATGTACGAATGGGTTGGACTTTTCGTTTCAAAGACTCTTGATAAACAATGTTTTTCGTGTTATTCTCTGGTGGAAATATGTAGAGATTCGTGGCGTATCCAACTGTTAAGCTCCCCACGTACAGCTATCCATTGTGAGATCGTACGCGGAATAAAAGAAATTGCTATACTAAGTATAGATAGAGACCGGCCAGCGAGTGGGTCTGTGTCACTGGATATTGTCTAGTGAATGCTTGGCGTGCAATCCATGCACATTGAAATTAAGAAATTTTTTGTATTGAATCAGAAAATGCATAGCTTTAGAATGGTACCATGCATTCTTCAGATCGTGCATCTGAACCGAAACTCTAACCTGAGAGTGAGTAGTACCCTCTGAAGCTGGCCGTGGTTATGCTCTGTTTTAGTTTCGATTTCGCGTTTCGGTTTCACAATACCAGCAGCTGATGAGATCATGAGGTGAGGGCAAGAAATCAATAGGCCATAGGCTGTGGCTGACATTTGTGTGAAGATTGCGGAATTGAGGGGGTTTTCACGGATTTTTCGGCGAGTTTGACGGTTTGACAGGTTTTTTTTCAGCTACGAACACGCGCGGGGTATAATGAGATGGCCCTGTGAAAAATTGCATCCAGATCGCTTTGGGCGTGTTTGGCCGCCTATAGGGAAGATACATCATACATAGATACTACATACGAATCAAATATATATTGATGATGAGTGATGGCGCAGTAGTCGTGTTCGTCTCACATAGCATCTGTAGCAGCTGCTACAGCTCTGTGCACATCACTCACCCTACACGTATTATACGTTAAATTTTCAGACGCCCGTCATCGAAGCTATCGGTGTGGTCATGCAGGATGAGAACATATGGCCTGAACCCACCATGTAAGTAAACAAGCAAAGATGAGGCGTCTACAGTTTATCTATGAAGATTGTATTCATAATTATCATTAAAAATGATCTACAACTCTTCCAGGTTTGACCCTGAGCGATTCAATCAAGAAAATAGCAAGGGTAGGAGTACTTATGCCTTTCAACCATACGGATTTTCAGGAAAAAGGGTCTGTCCTGGATACAGGTAAATCAGCAATATGTTCACAAGGAAACGTGTTCAGCATAATGACTCTGTCCACTAATCAGATTACACGCAAAATATAGAGAACGTAACCCTTGTAAGTTTGGGTTCTTTCACGAGACGTGCATTGCGATGCTATTGCAGGCTGGCTAATGCTGAGATCGGTGTGGCGCTGTCTGAACTCTGTCGTCGCTTCAAGTTCCATCTGGTCGCCGGTCAAGTGGTGCAGCCCGTCCACGGCCTCGTGACACGACCCAAGGACGAGATCTGGATCACCATCAGCAAGCGCTAGTGGCGCCATCTACCGAGTGTTGTTGTGAACAAAATGGATGGTCTAACGTTACTTGGCCTTACCTGTTAGTGTGCTGGTAACAGTTAATGACTACAATATAATAGATACTAGACGCTGTATTCAATGTGCACCCATGTACACACCTCCGTGAATAATTTTCTATTATATCAGTTGTCCGGAATGTTGGATTATTTAAAAATAAAGGATGACAATGTACGATTTGTTATATAGGGATTGCGGAATCTAGTAGGGGCCTAATTCAGACTAACGCAGTTTTCATTGGATATTCCAACTATAATCAAGTATAATCCATGATTACATTCTGCCCTAAGTAAATTCCACATGAATTTTATTAAACCAGGTATATTATTGCTTGTTTATAAGTGTGTGTAGGCATAGTAATATGGTTGTATGTATAAGTGCACATATGTGTGTAGATGTCCACAATTCTATTATCTTAGCGACATCTAAGATTTGTCTACCCGATCACTGCATGGTTGTTGGTGCTTAATGTTAGCCGTCATATCTATATATACTGTGTATTATTTTCTGTTGTTGTTTATATACATCATACCTCCTGATCATACGTATCTACCTCTTGTGAATAAAAAAACACCAGTTTGGCTGATAAACACTAGCTTACGACTATTCACGGAAATATAAAAGAACGCAAGCTTTTAATCTACTATTCAGAGTTATTATGTTTATTCTTTTTGCACTATTACCGTTGCTCAGTGAAGAGTTAAATGTATTAGTCGTTAAGAAATTTCAACTTCCCTATAACGTGGCATAGATTTTAGCATCAAATCTCTGTGGATGCATCTCTAATATCTGTTAATTGCGATAATATTTTCGTGAAATCACACAGGGTCCCCTTTCCCTCCTCCTCCGCTCTCACTGCCTTCCCCTCAGTATTTCCCTCCCCCTCTCCCGGATAGTATCGCCCACGGCATCCGTTGCACCGTGAAAAGTTTGCCAGCCAAATGGCCGGTTTCAGCCTCAACTCCCCCCCCCCAAAGCACAAAATGTGCGGATACGGCTATAATATGCGTTTTTACGGTCACTCATACACATACACACACACACACACACTAACGAACGCGCATACGCGGGTATGGTTGCACGCACGAGTGCGCGTGTATTATAGGCTTAATTCAAATTTTGTGCCTCGGGGGAGGTGAAAAGGTTTCGGCTGAAATACGGCCATTTAGCTGGCAAACTTTTCACCGTGAGACTGATGCCGTGGGCGATATTATCCGCAAGACGAGGAGGGAAATACTTAGAGGAAGGGAGTGAAGCAAGTGCATATTACTAACGCATTTGTCTCCCCCATCGCCCCGTCTCTTACCCCCGCTCTCCTCTCTCTCTCTCTTCTATATATAATATATATATATATATATATATATATATATATATGTATCGATCATGCGACTTTATTGTGTTTAATATCTGTCATAAACACGTGTGTAGCGATAAAGGGTCACATCCTCATCATCCCTTCTGCGTCAGGCATTGCAGTCAGTACGCAGTATTTATATAGACATCGACATACAGATGGCGCTGATGGCAATCAATTTGTTACCCCAACTGTGCACTACAGAATCGCCATATTTCTTGTTGAGAAACCAGGAATAATATTTACTCTGCTGGAAATTGTCCGTTGTTGGAACTAGGTAAGTGTAAACACGATTTATTAGTTTAGTGACTTGCTTTTAAATCTGTGGGATTAAGCTACTTACCCAATCTGTTTCTCAAAATCGGTATTTACAGTTTTATTGTAGGTTAATATTCAATAAGAGTGGCTGAGTGAATGTCTACAGTCTAGCCTCTAGGAGTAGAATTTCAACCTACATTCGATTATATGTGTTTGTGGGAAGTGACAAGTGCGTTTTCCATGTCAGTTAGGAATTTCACACATTCAGCAAACGTAGGTACATTCACCTAGTCTTTGTTAACTATATATATGTTCTTTCAAGACAGGTGTAGGCTAACTCACTAACACTAAACAGTCTTGTGTTACATGTTAATGCTATAATAATTGTGGCTTACAGTTACACACAAGTATTACACACAAAGTGACTGTTGATTATAATAAGTGTTACTAAGTAATCTTGCAATCACGTGGTTCTGAATCGCATGATACAGGCGCTCGCTCCCCTACGTACAAACGTTCAACTTTCAGAGATATGAACAAACTTGTCAAGAACAAGAACTAATGGCAATGCCATCTACAGGAGGTTAAATACAACCTTTAAAGCCATTCCCAGTCCCTGTTCCTCAGACTTTAAGTAATACTGTTTAAATAAGGCTGGTATAATATACTGTCGAGTATTATTGGGGTATAGCCGTACTGTACAAACTTTTTTTTACAATGCTGTGTACAGTATTCACTATTTATAAGAGCCGAGTTGGACTTCCGAACATTTGGACTTGCAAACAAACCCCAGGAACCTATCATGTTTGTAAGTAGGGCAGCTGCTGTATTCAAATACTATAGGTTTAATTTTAAAGGAAGAATATCTTGAGTGACACAATACAACATTTTGTGTCACCTGCTAAGATAGTCAGGTTCCCGGTAATTTTTCTGCAGTGACATATCAGGTTTTTACTAGAAAACGTGTGAAACATAAGGGATAAGCATATCAGTACTGTATGCTGTAGGAGCGTACATACTCCGCTACAGTGCTTGGTGGGAATCCAATAACATTTATTGAAAGGTTAATGGGCGCATGGATTTAATTAAATCAAATGTCAACGTGTCTGGCTTTTAGGGTGAAGTGGTTCAGGACATACCCTTATTTAACACTTCCAGCATAACGAATGGCTCTCGCCTCATTATTGCCTCTTACCATAAATATCCATGTATTGGTCGTTTAATATGTCGACTCACCTTCGATAACACCTGTACAGAGCAGCCACCTGCTCAATGTGGCCAGCAGCCGGTGTTTACTTGTCCGTCTATTAGGCTCAACCTAAACACTGTGATGATTTTCCCTCGAGGCCATCACTAGATCAGCCACATTACTGTCCCTGCTCACTGTCACTGATGGACAGAGAAGCCTCTGAAATAACCCCAAGTATCCACTTAGGCCAAAACAAAATATAGGTGTGGTTACCGTTTCCCGACCGACCCTATTTATTCCCAGCGACCCTAAACATTTTATTGTCAATTTTCTTTAAAGTAAAATTTTTTTTTATTTAAATATATAAAAAATATGAATTGGACAGTTCCTGCTTCAAAAGGCACAACGCACATCCTTCGGACATGGTTCGTAAATAAAATGTTTCAATAAAATAAAATGTTATCCCTAGCTTAATTTTTTTACCCTATTTTTTTTCGGCATGAAACGGTAACCACACCTATATTTTGTTTTGGCCTTACTGACAATCAGCAGATGTTCACAGGAAGTTGTGCCAACATCCAAATAACAGCTTCGTGGTTAGTATGCATTTTGATCTGACGAAGGAAACAATTTTTGATCTAATAAACGTACAGGTGCAGGGTTGGCAATTAACTTTTTTTTTACGGGGCAGCAAGTACTTTTCACCAGAGAAAAGGGCAAGAAGCAAATTTACTCACCCGGGCAAAATCTTTGCTGCATTAGGAATTTCTTGGGAGCAAGGTTTTGCTGCCAACGTTGAGAGCAGGCAGCAAACTAACCCCTCCCTGTAGGCATCGAAACTGCTGCTTGCCGCCCTTAATTTTCGAACCCTTCCGACGTATGTATACTGATTTCTTGGTGGCTGTGTGTACAGGAGCTCAGTGACCGATTCCTACTGAGTAGTAGACTCGGTCTACAGTAGGATACAGCTAAACTCGTACCTTGTTGCTGCCAGAACACTATCCATTATTATATTAAACTTACTCTTTCCTTGACTGATCTCTTGCATTGATTTGATTCATCTATTTTTGGTAAACCTCGATTGTACTACGTCTTCGGCAGTTGTTATTGCTTAACAGGCAGCCTATGCACAGGAAATGTATGCAACTAGAGTAGGAGTGCACCGGAACTATCCGGCCGAATCCCCAATTTTTCAGAGTTCCGGTTCCGGCCGGAACCTTTCAGGAACGGTCGGCCGGTACCGGAACCTTTTCCTAAATTTATTTCTGCTACAAGCGCCATCAAGATCAAAAGATCAGTCACTGAATGTAGTTGAGCATCAGTAGAGTCAACTTGCTGACAATATAGTGTTAACAACTTCACACTATTCCATCCAAAAAACTTTGCCACTTGAACATTGGCTAACTAACTGAACTGAACCTAACTGATGTTAGGTGATTCACGAGATTTTCTTTTAAAATAAAATACTCTTACTCTTAGAGCCACAGGAATGGCATCTGTCTGTTAGTTAAAAATAATCGACTAAAACCAGGGATACTGCAACATGCAGGTTTTGCCACACAATTCGCTCGTGAATAAGATGCCAGAATTATGCACTGTAAGCAGATGATTCATACACCTAACAACCATCCTGTAATTAGAACTTTGTAGCATTGAGAACAATGAGAACAATGTAGAATGTGAACATGTAAACAATGAGAACATGAGACATGAGAACATGTGACATAATGAGAACATGTAGAACAATGAGCATGGTCCTACTCGCATGAGTGATGTGCATGCTAATAATATTTCGTTCAGGTCGAGTGAGTTTGCACAATACTGGGCCAAAAATGTCAAGTTTATTCCCAGCTTTAAGCGATACTAGACTCTAGGATTTTACTGCATACAACTGTACTTACTGTGTAACAAATCGTCTATGCCTGGCCCACACGTACTTGTTACCAGATACCTAATTTAATTGTTATAATTAATTATACATCAACACTACAAAATTTGAACGGCATTGACACCCGTGACCGTGTTGCCACCCTGAAAAAGTTGCGCATTTCCCAATATATTTTGCACGTTACAGACCGAGGGCTAATCACGAGGTGCAATTATATTTATACCTAAATGATATTTAACCGAACAATGTTCATTTTAGGACAAATTTATCCATAATATAACTGAAACTATATGTCGTTTATATTATAAGATATTACAATCCTTTTGCTTTTAAATTAATAAATTATAAGAAACACCCTCGGTCTGTAGCCCTTGGCTGAAAAGTCATTTTGCGCAACTTTTCAGATTGTTCGCTTTGAGTGGCGCCACCGTCGTTGTACATAATCAAACTGTAGTCGTTGGTTTTAAAGCATTTTAAACAAATATTTCTAATGGTGATTGAACCATGAAACATTTTATGTAGCGTAATTTTAACCTAGGAGTAGGACTTAGGACAAATTTATCCATAATATAACTGAAACTATATGTCGTTTATAAGATATTACAATCTTTTTGCTTTTAAATTAATAAATTATAAGAAACACCCTCGGTCTGTAGCCCTTGGCTGAAAAGTCGTTTTGCGCAACTTTTCAGATCGTTCGCTTTGAGTGGCGCCACCGTCGTTGTAATCAAACTGTAGTCGTTAGTTTTAAAACATTTAAAACAAATATTTCTAATGGTGATTGTCTGATTGAACCATGAAACATTTTATGTAGCGTAATTTTAACCTATTTTAACTGAAAATAACCCTAGAACCTAGAGTAAAGGATCCCTTTAAGTTCCGGTTCTGGCCAGGTAGTTCCGGCCAGAACTTTTTTATAGTTTCGGCTGGTTTTACATCCGGCCGGAACATAAAA